TGTTCAATTATAGAGTGTATTTGATAGAATGAGAATTTGACTTTAATTGTTAAGTAAAATGAATGAGAAATTATCAAAAGAGAACACTTTGGGTGATAAAAGCTATGAGAGCGATTGAAACAACAAGGAAAAGAATGAAAATCCTGTTCGGCCCGGCCGAACCAGAAAACCAACCGCATTCACATTCTCGAGATAAAAAAAGACCATCACAATGACGTTCTATCCTAAAATAACAACTGCACGAAATACTAATTTTCCGGTCCCCTCCATTATCGCTTGATACCTGCGAACTACCCAACATGGGTAATTTCACCCCCTATGAGAACCAATATTCCAGAGCAAACGACGAGAGTAATATGATAAAAGTATCCTCAGTACTATGGACTAGGTGATCCTTCGAAATTATTTTGATCTTCTCTTCAGTAACAGCTCATATCCAGTGTCATATTCAAGCTCATGGTTTGATTTCAGCGTGAACAACGAATTTGTCAGTCTGAGCATGCGTTGAACGATGGCCGTTTCGTGTATCGTCGATTACCGCTGTCGATGTTCTCAAAATCTGAAGCTGTTACAACAGCGGTTGGGAATGAAGACAGCGATTGATTCACTCTAAATTCACAACATGCTCGCCCTCCCTTCTACACCTTCTGAAAAAAAAGAAAAAATATCCGTTTTACCGAAAATGGTTCTTGAATTTAATGTTGTTCTATGCGAAATTCAATTGTTACATAATGATTCTCGTGTTGTAGAAGGCTTTCTAGATCACGTGTAAGATTTTTAGTTTGTATGATATCATAGTATTATTTCGGTGCACTCAGTACAATATCTGAATTCGACGTCAAGATTCATTATTTATGCGTATTAATATTCATTTATATATACTTACTTTCATTATTTGAATGCAAAAAGTAATCACTTATTATACATATATGTATTTATATCTGTGAACATGTACGTTGCCATATGTGAAATTTTGTTGAATGAATGAAGTTATTAACTGATGCGTTCGAGTTTCGAGTCAAGAAACGACTTTGCCATTGGCAATGTTCGAACTTTCACAATCATTAACACACCGAATGTTTCGTAAACCAATTATTTCAATCATCACCACAGCAATGCGTTCATTTCAAATCAGATTACTCTCCGAATGGATGGAATTATGTAAAGTAACTAATGGAACTAGTATCTAATGGAACTAATATTAACTAATTAAGTAATGGGACTAACAGATATCAACTGCTCATATTTCTCACAATTTCAAACATATTTCTCACATCAGCATATTTCTCACGACAGTATTCGATTTGAATTCAGGCATTTCAGTACCCAATTCGCTAGTTCGGCTAGTTTAACGGTGGAAACTAGACAACTGCTGATGTCTTCTGTTCATCTCTTTCAAGAAGTAAGAGATGAAATTTATGAAAGTTGCTCACTGCCATAATCATGCCTGACAGTTACACATGTGACAGAGGAAGAACATGCAATTTGCTACATGTAG